AAAACCTTAAAGTCCATAGAGAATATCCAGAAAACACAAACACACACAGAGGCTGTAGCAAGATCTGGGATTGAGATAGCTACAAATCACCAGATAGTTTTGTTTTCATCCAGGAGTATCTGGACAAATTGTTGTAGATTTCGGGTGAAATTTAACCAAAAATCACCGTGAAAGTGGTTTTGGAGAAAAGCACAATCTTCCTGTGCTGCAAATGTATGCAATGTCATGTTTACAGAAAGAAATATCATGTTTTCTCAGGTTTCTGAAGCTTTCTTCCTAGAAAACTCGAATGTGTGTAGTATTTGGCTCCAGGTGGAACCAATTAGCGTTTGCCAACAGAAAACAAAAAGGGTCCTGCTAAAATGCATTCAAAACCTTAAAGTCCATAGAGAATATCCAGAAAACCAAACACCCACAGAGGCTGTAGCCAGATCTGGGATTCAGATAGCTACAAATCACCAGATAGTTTTGTTTTCATCCAGGAGTATCTGGACAAATTGTTGTGGATTTCGGGTGAAATATAACCAAAAATCACCGTGAAAGTGGTTTTGGAGAAAAGCACAATCTTCCTGTTCAGCAAATGAAACAAAGGTCATGTTTATAAATACAAATATAATATTTTCTCAGGTTTCTGGAGCTTTCTTCCTAGAAAACTCCAATGTGTGGAGTATTTGACTCCAGGTGGAACCAATTAGCGTTTGCCAACAGAAAACAAAAAGGGTCCTGCTAAAATGCATTCAAAACCTTAAAGTCCATAGAGAATATCCAGAAAACACAAACACACACAGAGGCTGTAGCAAGATCTGGGATTGAGATAGCTACAAATCACCAGATAGTTTCGTTTTCATCCAGGAGTATCTGGAGAAATTGTTGTGGATTTCGGGAGAAATTTAACCAAAAATCACCGTGAAAGTGGTTTTGGAGAAAACCACCATCTTCCTGTTCGACAAATGTATCCAATGTCATGTTTACAGAAAGAAATATCATGTTTTCTCAGGTTTCTGAAGCTTTCTTCCTAGAAAACTCGAATGTGTGGAGTATTTGACTCCAGGTGGAACCAATTAGCGTTTCCCAGCAGAAAATAAAAAGGGTCCTGCTAAAATGCATTCAAAACCTTAAAGTCCATAGAGAATATCCAGAAAACACAAACACACACAGAGGCTGTAGCAAGATCTGGGATTGAGATAGCTACAAATCACCAGATAGTTTTGTTTTCATCCAGGAGTATCTGGACAAATTGTTGTGGATTTCGGGAGAAATTTAACCAAAAATCACCGTGAAAGTGGTTTTGTAGAAAAGCACAATCTTCCTGTGCGGCAAATGTATCCAATGTCATGTTTACAGAAAGAAATATCATGTTTTCTCAGGTTTCTAAAGCTTTCTTCCTAGAAAACTCGAATGTGTGGAGGATTTGACTCCAGGTGGAACCAATTAGCGTTTGCCAGCAGAAACCAAAAAGGGTCCTGCTAAAATGCATTCCAAACCTTAAAGTCGATAGAGAATATCCAGAAAACACAAACACACACAGAGGCTGTAGCAAGATCTGGGATTGAGATAGCTACAAATCACCAGATAGTTTTGTTTTCATCCAGGAGTATCTGGAGAAATTGTTGTAGTTTTGAAGAGAAATTTAAGAAAAAAATCACCGTGAAAGTAGTTTTGGAGAAAAGCACAATGTTCCTGTTCTGCAAATGCATCCAATGTCATGTTTACAAATACAAATATCATGTTTTCTCAGGTTTCTGAAGCTTTCTTCCTAGAAAACTCGCATGTGTGGAGTATTTGACTCCAGGTGGAACCAATTAGCGTTTGCCAGCAGAAAACAAAAAGGGTCCTGCTAAAATGCATTCCAAAACTTAAAGTCCATAGAGAATATCCAGAAAACACAAACACACACAGAGGCTGTAGCAAGATCTGGGATTGAGATAGCTACAAATCACCAGATAGTTTTGTTTTCATCCAGGAGTATCTGGACCAATTGTTGTGGATTTCAGGTGAAATTTAACCAACAATCACCGAGAAAGTGGTTTTGGAGAAAAGCACAATCTTCCTGTTCGGCAAATGCATCCAATGTCATGTTTACAGAAAGAAATATCATGTTTTCTCAGGTTTCTGAAGCTTTCTTCCTAGAAAACTCGAGTGTGTGCAGTATTTGACTCCAGGTGGAAACAATTAGCGTTTGCCAACAGAAACCAAAAAGGGTCCTGCTAAAATGCATTCAAAGCCTTAAAGTCCATAGAGAATATCCAGAAAACACAAACACACAGAGGCTGTAGCAAGATCTGGGATTGAGATAGCTACAAATCACCAGATAGTTTTGTTTTCATCCAGGAGTATCTGGACAAATTGTTGTGGATTTCGGGTGAAGTTTAACAAAAATCACCGTGAAAGTGGTTTTGGAGAAAAGCACAATCTTCCTGTTCAGCAAATGCATCCAATGTCATGTTTACAAATACAAATATCATGTTTTGTCAGGTTTCTGAAGCTTTCTTCCTAGAAAACTCGAATGTGTGGAGTATTTGACTCCAGGTGGAACCAATTAGTGTTTGCCAGCAGAAAACAAAAAGGGTCCTGCTAAAATGCATTCAAAACCTTAAAGTCCATAGAGAATATCCAGAAAGCACAAACACACACAGAGGCTGTAGCAAGATCTGGGATTGAGATAGCTACAAATCACCAGATAGTTTTGTTTTCATCCAGGAGTATCTGGACAAATTGCTGTGGATTTCGGGTGAAATTTAACCAAAAATCACCGTGAAAGTGGTTTTGGAGAAAAGCACAATCTTTCTGTTCAGCAAATACATCCAATGTCATGTTTACAAATACAAATATCATGTTTTCTCAGGTTTCTGAAGCTTTCTTCCTAGAAAACTCGAATGTGTGTAGTATTTGACTCCTGGTGGAACCAATTAGCGTTTGCCAGCAGAAACCAAAAAGGGTCCTGCTAAAATGCATTCAAAACCTTAAAGTCCATAGAGAATATCCAGAAAACACAAACACACACAGAGGCTGTAGCAAGTTCTGGGATTGAGATAGCTACAAATCACCAGATAATTTTGTTTTCATCCAGGAGTATCTGGACAAATTGTTGTGGATTTTCGGTGAAATTTAACCAAAAATCACCGTAAAAGTGGTTTTGGAGAAAAGCACAATCTTCCTGTTCGGCAAATGTATCCAATGTCATGTTTACAGAAAGAAATATCATGTTTTCTCAGGTTTCTGAAGCTTTCTTCCTAGAAAACTCGAATGTGTGGAGAATTTGACTCCAGGTGGAACCAATTAGCTTTTGCCAGTGTTAGGGTCTAAAAAAAAGCCCACTGCCCAAGGAACGACTCCAAGAGACTTTTTCTCTCATGCAACCAGCAAAGGGTTAAATTTATTGATCCAACATGTTGGGGCCCTCTGACAAGGACAGAGGAGCAGTGAGGAACTACAGCATAGGGTTTATAAAGGCAAAAACCGCAAAATCGGGAGGGGGGAGAGAATACACGGTTGCTAAGCTGTTGCTAAAATCTTACAATCAGCAATTATGATTTTAAGACATAGACAAATCACATCTTCATTATTAGCCCAGGTAACCCAGGTGCAACCTTTCTACTTTTAAGCTTGAGCAATCATGCTTGGGGGGTTTTGTGCGTTGCCAAGGGTGGTGTAGTGCACTGCTATTGTCCGACTATTTGAGATCATAGTTTCAGACCAGAGTCTCATGGTGGGGGGGGGGTGCTTTCCCAGAATGCAGTCTCAAGGGCTCCAAAATGGAGTCCCTACTGTCAAGGTGCTACTTTACTCTGTCTTATTTTCACAGCTGCACCAGGAAGGTTTAAACCTGTAAGCTTAAGCTTAACTTTTGACACCCGTACATATACAATTTTAACTCTTCATTCCCCACTCCTTGTTGTGAGGATCTCTAATCTTAGAGATTATTCATTTTTGTCTCTTTTAATGTGACATATTGTTGTCTTACAACCATGAGTTTAACATTTTTAACTTGTTCCCACATGAAGGTGATGAGTCTATTTAACACACAAGGTCCTATGGTTACAATTAGGAGTAGAACAATTAAGGGTCCTGTTAGGGCTGACAGTAGAGTAGTAAGCCATGGGGACCGGCAGAACCATGACTCAAACCATCCCTGTTGAGTTTTCCTTTTCCGTTGCCATTTTTCCAGTCGTTTTTTGAGTTTGACCATGGAGTTTCTAACCACCCCGGTTCAGTCAGCATAAAAACAACATTTTTTCTTTAGGGCCACACATAACCCACCCCCATGAAAATGAGATTTAACCCCCGCCTGTTCTGTAATACTGAAATGCAGATACTGGGCTGCATCTGGGAGATTGTGGAAGATTTGTCAGGCAGAAGGGGCGGGCATCTCCACCTGGCAGGTTATCGGGTAGAAGGGGGCAGGGCAGGATGCAAAGGCCAGGCTGCCCGTGAAACATTGTCAGGATGACTGAGATGTAGATGCATATGCTGGACACATTAGGCCTTTATGTCACACACACATAAGCTCATAACTGACTTTCTGCCTAATATTTTTCCCTCAAGAGGTAATACCCAAAATTCTTCTTTGGGATTATGGATGGAGTTCCGTTTTCTGTAACTTCTTCAAAGCTGGCATGTGGGCGTCGAGGGGGATTTGGGTATTTCCTCTTGCTACCTGTCTTATGGTGTGCAACAGTGGCCTTGGAAAGACGGTGCCGCTCGGTCCAGAGGGCTGCTCAGGTCGTCCAGTGGAATGGGCTGGAAGTCTTGCCTGATGACCATTTGGAGTTTAACAGCTTTTAGTCTGTTAGAGACAAAACGAACAAGGGCATTAAAAACACGCGGTGCAAAGAGAAGCATCAAGATTGCAGAAGTTAGTGGGCCAAGGAGAGGAAATAGCCAGGATTTCCATGACCAGATGTCAGGCCAGAAATCCCAGCCCTGCTTGGCCTGGTCCTGGAGCTGTTTGGATTTTTCCAGGAAAAGTACAAATCTGGGTTTGTGCCTGTCTAGTCTGATTGACCCAGAGACAATTTTTTTTTTTTTTTTGATATTTAGTAGCCAGTTTTGCTAGGAAGTTAAGCCAATGTACAAGACTAGAGTCTCAGGCTGGGAAAAGGACAGACTAATGAATTATTTACATTTAACCATTTATATTATGGATTATTGTGCACACCCCTTAAGAGATAGGCCCTTTAAGTCCTCAGTGAGGACCTGTTCAAATCGGTGTAGGGCTATCTGAGTTAGCTGTTACCGAAAGTCCTGTTTTTAGGAACTGGCAGGGAGGGCTTTCTAAGCTTAATGTTATTGGATAGACTTTTAAGGCCTGGCTGGGTGTGTGAGGCCCAGACCTATCCATGGGGTGCTGGAAGAGAATTGAAAGAGATGCAGATCTCCTTTAAGGGAGGCACCCTGTTGACTTGCATTACATGGATGGACTAGGAGGAGAGCTGAATAGGAGGCTGATGGAAATAGGCAACTTGCGTTTCACTGACCCTAGGCCATCCCCAATAGCAGTGGCTGGAGCTGGAAGCTGGGCAGAGGCTTGGCAGAGCCAAAGGCTTTTTAGCTCGGGGCCACAGGGTCAGCGGTTCTGAACCAGGAGTCCTTCAACACCCAGGGCAGTTCCGTGTCCAGTGGCCGTGCTCTTGGCAGGGCTGACAGAAGGCATTTGCTGTCACGACAGCTGCTTGCCCAATGCCCTGTCTCCTTATATCAGCAACAGGTGCCATTTGGGGTGCACTGGCCTTGCTGGGTCTCCTTGATGGCAATCACCGTGTAAAGCAGCCATTGATTGGTCTGTTGCCTATCCTCTGCTGCTAGCTTGCTCCTCATTTTTCTGGTCTCTAATAAAGTAGACAAGGAGGCAGCCTCTATGATGTCAGTCAAGGGGGTGCTCAACCCATCCCTGATTTTTGGAGATTTTTTTAAATATCAGGGTGAGCTAGAAAAACTATGGTCATGGGTAAATTCTGACACTTAATATTTTCCTGCGAGTTAAGACCGTGCCCATGAGGAGAACTATGACCCTTTAGGTAAGATTAACTGTGGTGACCTGCTTGCATACTTTGAGGTGGTCAGTGTAACTTTTTACACCGAAAAATTGATCTAGTTGTTACATTATTTTATAGTTCAACCTTTTTTGTTGTTGTTGTTGTTTGGGGCCCTATACTGTGGCCAGGCATTATTACAGAAAAGGTCAGTCATCCCTTACATAAGGTCTGGGGATCAAACCGTACGTCACAGTGGAGAGTCCTGCAGAACAGTAGTAACTTCCCTTCTGGAAGAGAAAAGAGGAGAAGTGAGGCAGTGAGTCGGGTCTCTAGCCTGACTTTTTGGGCTTTTAGATTTAACTGGCAGTTTAACCAGTGTTTACTGTGTAGCCTGACTTAGAGGAGAAATTGTGGCAGAGGTCTCTGCCATTCTTTGGCTTCCAGGTATTTACCGTATAGCCTGTGGACACTAGAGCTTTCTTGGGTTTTTGAAACCCAGTTTTCTAGCATCTGCTGCATAACCATAACTTAACAGAGACAGTAGAGTACACAATGGATTAACATGAATTTTATGTCTCTTGTTGTCGAATAAACCAGAAATAAAAAAACCTTGTATATAAGAGTTTACATAATTTAGGATTATTTAACAGAGTCAAAAAAAAGCTTACAGGACCTAACTTTAGAAATGGCAGAGTAACCAAATAAGCAGACACTGTTAAAATAGACGTTACAGTTTTTGCAAAAACAGATTTTAAGATTTATGATTTAGACCATTTTTAGATATTTACTAACATTAGTACACATTTAAAAAAAAAACCCATTGTTATAACAGATCAGACTTTAACTTTAGGTTAGTGTAATTTTGGCATTAGCACTCAACTCTGTAAACAATATTTTAAAATTGTAAACATTTTAAAACTTTTTATGACTTGTTTACACCTTTTGAAACTTTATACCCGTAGTTTCTTTTACATAGCCTTGAATTGTCATGTATGGACAACCTATGAGAATACATGTTAACAAACTCAAACAGTTTTTTTTTTATCAAATTTGAGATGTTAAAAGTATATATATAATATATTTTCCCAAGTTTTACTTAGCACTGATGCCTAGATGACTTAAGACACTGAGTTATTAATGAATACCACACCATTATCTGAAATAAAAGTTAAAATTACATTTTTATGTTTTTAAGTAACATGAGGATAACACCTCCTGGACAGCAAACACTAGTGCATGTTTACAACTTTGAAAAGATCTTCCTCATTAAGAGAAACAAGTTTAAAGCATATCAAAGACATGTAAAACTGAGCAAGCAAGCCACTGAGCAAACCGAAGGGTGTTTGCATTACCTCAATTTTCTGAACCAATCTGCATTGGCTTACTTTAGTTAACAACATAAAGGCTTGTATACACAGAATTTACTCTTATTTTTATAAGACCACTTTAGCTGGAAAGCAAAAACATAAATACAGTATAGGTCTGACACCATTTATAACATTTTAATATATTTTATATAATTTGAATTGACCCAAGCAGCTGTTACTTTAACAAATTTAGAGTCTCATTCTTTGAGAGTTCCAGGGATCCGGCTGGAAGCCCAAAGTTGGAAGACTCGGTTTAGAATTTAAGCTGTCAGAGAGTCAAACCATTTAGCCAAAATTAGTACATTTCTGATCAGTTGGGTAATCACTCAGACATTAAAAACAGATAAACAATGTAAACAACTTTGCATTGTAGTTTCCCAATTAAGACTCTAATGGCAATAGAAAAACGCGAAACCTTCGAAACCTTCGAGACAGGTGAATGCTCTCAGATGAATAACCCATTGTTTAGGTTTTTATTAGCTGCAAAGAGAAAAACCCATCAGGTTGGTAAGGGTTAATGGCTTAAGGTTCTGGCTCCCTTAGGTAAGGCCAGCAGTAGTACTGAATTGGAAATTCCTCCAGGAGAGGAGAGAAAAAGCAGCCCTGGGGTGGGGGCTCTGCCTAGAGATATTTGGCTATGCCTGCCTGGGTGCGGCAGGCCACATGAACTAGAATACAGTGCAGAGAAAGGCTGTGGTCCCCCATTTACAGGGAAGATTGCACACACCGTGGCCTGGCAGGACTAACCGTGGGGTTGGGTAAGTGTGCCGTTTTACTAAGAGTGTTGGGAACCTCCTATAATTTAACCAAAGCCAGATCAATTAGGACTACTGCAGACACTCAGTCAATTACAACAGATAGTTAACTTTAGCTTTTTTCCAGATTTAGTCCTCAGGCAATCAAAGCTTAGCAACAGTAATACTTCACAAAAAACTTTAAGACGCACCAGAGCTACCATAAGCTGCAAAGACGGAAAACTTTCTACCAGGTTGGAAAGGGTTAACAGGTAACAGGTAACAGCTTTTCCCTGGGTGGAGAGACCTGTGGAATTTCCCTCTCCCTTTCTCCTGGCCAGTGGTACAGGAATGGAGATGAGGAGAGCAAAAGAGTGGAGGAGGGAGCCCCTGGGAGAAGGAGGAAGGCAGAAAGCAATAAAGCTCCTCAGTCTGGGGGCTGAGTGGGGTTCGAAATCTCCTATCGCTCAAGGTTACCCACTACCTAGTTGTCTGAGTTTACCTGAAGGGCCAATATTAGCCTCGACCGAAGCTAAGCCCTGCTCGCGTAGCAGTAGGCAGCGTGACCAGGCGTCCCTCCGAGAGAGAGACCTGATCCTCGGGTCGCAGTCTGGCCGCCGGGAAGCCAAAGCGAGCTCAGGGGGTCTCCAGGCTCTCAGCCAACTGCCCTTCCTAATTTCCCTCCCGTTCCTTACAGTCCCTCTGGAGTTTCGGCCGTAGCTAAGCCGTGGCCGGGGGGACTCCGCGTTCTCGGAGAGCTGTGGGGTGCCGGACACTCAACGGTCACTTCCACAGATCCGGTCCCGCTTGAGGGAAGGAATACTGACCTTCGATGTCTTCTTAAAATCCCCGTCTGGGTGCCCATGACGGCCAGGCTGGAGAACGGCCTCTTTCACTCGGCTAATGAGTGGTAAATGGAATGAGCCCTCCGGGGGCCAATCCACTCTGAGAGCAGGTCATTTAGAGACACAGAAAGACTTTACCTTTTTGACTGACAAAGAAAGGTTATGTGCCTAGTGGCTTACCTCTGACCATTGATTCAAAGTTAGAGACAAAGGTGTAGACACAGTCTGGCCCATGTTAGCAGACAACACAATGTACACAAACAGACAAACAGCGTAGAGAAGCAGCATACAACGACCACACAGATGTCTACCAAACGGGAGCCATCACGGCGTCCCAAAAATGCTTAACAAATACAAAAGACTAACGAGCTCGATCAAATACCAAAGTTTCGGCAGTACAAACAAAATGTGAGTCTCTGCAGTCTATTTCCCTACTGCAGGCAACCCACCAAACAGGAAACACTGGGCGTCCCCAGTTCTCCCTTTCTCCCGGGGCATCCCCCGGGATGTGGTCTATGGCTCTGGAGCACGTCTGCCCGCCACAGTCGGGTGGAGCTCTCGCTCGAGCCCGACAACCACGCTGCCGATTACAAACAAATAACAAACCTTATCAAACAACAAATTAAAGTGTACACGTTTAATCAAAACAATAGGCGCCTTACTCACCCCGAGAGATATCCGTTGGAGGCGTCCACAGGCAGCAGTCAGATCTCGCTGGGGCCTCCAAATGTTAGGGTCTAAAAAAAAGCCCACTGCCCAAGGAACGACTCCAAGAGACTTTTTCTCTCATGCAACCAGCAAAGGGTTAAATTTATTGATCCAACATGTTGGGGCCCTCTGACAAGGACAGAGGAGCAGTGAGGAACTACAGCATAGGGTTTATAAAGGCAAAAACCGCAAAATCGGGAGGGGGGAGAGAATACACGGTTGCTAAGCTGTTGCTAAAATCTTACAATCAGCAATTATGATTTTAAGACATAGACAAATCACATCTTCATTATTAGCCCAGGTAACCCAGGTGCAACCTTTCTACTTTTAAGCTTGAGCAATCATGCTAGGGGGGTTTTGTGCGTTGCCAAGGGTGGTGTAGTGCACTGCTATTGTCCGACTATGTGAGATCATAGTTTCAGACCAGAGTCTCATGGTGGGGGGGGGGTGCTTTCCCAGAATGCAGTCTCAAGGACTCCAAAATGGAGTCCCTACTGTCAAGGTGCTACTTTACTCTGTCTTATTTTCACAGCTGCACCAGGAAGGTTTAAACCTGTAAGCTTAAGCTTAACTTTTGACACCCGTACATATACAATTTTAACTCTTCACCAGCAGAAAACAAAAAGGGTCCTGCTAAAATGCATTCAAAACCTTAAAGTCCATAGAGAATATCCAGAAAGCACAAACACACACAGAGGCTGTAGCAAGATCTGGGATTGAGATAGCTACAAATCACCAGATAGTTTTGTTTTCATCCAGGAGTATCTGGACAAATTGTTGTGGATTTCGGGAGAAATTTAACCAAAAATCACCGTGAAAGTGGTTTTGGAGAAAAGAACAAACTTTCTCTTCAGGAAATGAATCCAATGTCATGTTTACAAATACAAATGTCATGTTTTCTCAGGTTTCTGGAGCTTTCTTCCTAGAAAACGCGAATGTGTGGAGTATTTGACTCCAGGTGGAACCAATTAGCGTTTGCCAGCAGAAACCAAAAAGGGTCCTGCTAAAATGCTTTCAAAACCTTAAAGTCCATAGAGAATATCCAGAAAACACAAACACACACAGAGGCTGTAGCAAGATCTGGGATTGAGATAGCTACAAATCACCAGATAGTTTTGTTTTCATCCAGGAGTATCTGAACCAATTGTAGTGGATTTCGGGTGAAATTTAACCAAAAATCACCGTGAAAGTGGTTTTGGAGAAAAGCACAATCTTCCTGTTCTGCAAATGCATCTAATGTCATGTTTACAGAAAGAAATATCATGTTTTCTCAGATTTCTGAAGCTTTCTTCCTAGTAACCTCGAATGTGTGGAGTATTTGACTCCAGGTGGAACAAATTCGCGTTTGCCAGCAGAAAACAAAGAGGGTCCTGCTAAAATGCATTCAAAACCGTAAAGTCCATAGAGAATATCCAGAAAACACAAACACACAGAGGCTGTAGCAAGAACTGGGATTGAGATAGCTACAAATCACCAGGTAGTTTTGTTTTCATCCAGGAGTATCTGGACAAATTGTTGTGGATTTCGGGTGAAGTTTAACCAAAAATCACCGTGAAAGTGGTTTTGGAGAAAAGCACAATCTTCCTGTGCTGCAAATGTATCCAATGTCATGTTTACAGAAAGAAATATCATGTTTTCTCAGGTTTCTGAAGCTTTCTTCCTAGTAACCTCGAATGTGTGGAGGATTTGACTCCAGGTGGAACCAATTAGCGTTTGCCAGCAGAAAACAAAAAGGGTCCTGCTAAAATGCATCAAAATCTTAAAGTCCATAGAGAATATCCAGAAAACACAAACACACACAGAGGCTGTAGCAAGATCTGGGATTCAGATAGCTACAAATCACCAGATAGTTTTGTTTTCATCCAGGAGTATCTGGACAAATTGTTGTAGTTTTGAAGTGAAATTTAACCAAAAAATAACCGGGAAAGTGGTTTTGTAGAAAAGCACAATCTTTCTGTTCAGTAAATGCATCCAATGTCATGTTTACATATACAAATATCATGTTTTCTCCGGTTTCTGGAGCTTTCTTCCTAGAAAACTCGAATGTGTGGAGTATTTGACTCCAGGTGGAACCAATTACCGTTTGCCAGCAGAAAACAAAAAGGGTCCTGCTAAAATGCATTCAAAACCTTAAAGTCCATAGAGAATATCCAGAAAGCACAAACACACACAGAAGCTGTAGCAAGATCTGGGATTGAGATAGCTACAAATCACCATATAGTTTTGTTTTCATCCAGGAGTATCTGGACAAATTGTTGTGGATTTTGGGTGAAATTTAACCAAAAATCACCGTGAAAGTGGTTTTGGAGAAAAGCACAATCTTCCTGTTCGGAAAAATGTATCCAATGCCATGTTTACAGAAAGAAATATCATGTTTTCTCAGGTTTCTGAAGCTTTCTTCCTAGTAACCTCGAATGTGTGGCGTATTTGACTCCAGGTGGAACCAATTAGCGTTTGCCAGCAGAAAACAAAAAGGGTCCTGCTAAAATGCATTCAAAACCATAAAGTCCATAGGGAATATCCAGAAAACAGAAACACACCAGAGGCTGTAGCAAGATCTGGGATTGAGATAGCTACAAGTCACCAGATAGTTTTGTTTTCATCCAGGAGTATCTGGACAAATTGTTGTGGATTTCGGGTGAAGTTTAAACAAAAATCACCGTGAAAGTCGTTTTGGAGAAAAGCACTATCTTCCTGTTCGGAAAATGAATCCAATGTCATGTTTACAAATACAAATATCATGTTTTCTCAGGTTTCTGAAGCTTTCTTCCTAGAAAACTCGAATGTGTGGAGGATTTGACTCCAGGTGGAACCAATTAACATTTGCCAGCAGAAAACAAAAAGGGTCCTGCTAAAATGCATTCAAAACCGTAAAGTCCATAGAGAATATCCAGAAAACACAAACACACACAGAGGCTATAGCAAGATATGGGATTGAGATAGCTACAAATCACCAGATAGTTTTGTTTTCATCCAGGAGTATCTGGACAAATTGTTGTAGTTTTGAAGTGAAATTTAACCAAAAAATCACCGTGAAAGTGGTTTTATAGAAAAGCACAATCTTTCTGTTCAGTAAATGCATCCAATGTCATGTTTACATATACAAATATCATGTTTTCTCAGGTTTCTGGAGCTTTCTTCCTAGAAAACTCGAATGTGTGGAGTATTTGTCTCCAGGTGGAACCAATTAGCGTTTGCCAGCAGAAACCAAAAAGGGTCCTGCTAAAATGCATTCAAAACCTTAAAGTCCATAGAGAATATCCAGAAAACACAAACACACACAGAGGCTGTAGCAAGATCTGGGATTGAGATAGCTACAAATCACCAGATAATTTTGTTTTCATCCAGGAGTATTTGGACAAATTGTTGTGAATTTCGGGTGAAATTTAACCAAAAATCCCCGTGAACGTCGTTTTGGAGAAAAGCACAATCTTCCTGTTCGGAAAATGTATGCAATGTCATGTTTACAGAAAGAAATATCATGTTTTCTCAGGTTTCTGAAGCTTTCTTCCTAGAAAACTCGAATGTGTGGAGGATTTGACTCCAGGTGGAACCAATTAGCTTTTGGCAGCTAAAAACAAAAACTTACATGCTAAAATGCATTCAAAACCGTAAAGTCCATAGAGAATATCCAGAAAACACAAACACACACAGAGGCTGTAGCAAGATCTGGGATTGAGATAGCTACAAATCACCAGATAGTTTTGTTTTCATCCAGGAGTATCTGGACAAATTGTTGTGGATTTCGGGTGAAATTTAACTAAAAAATCACCGTGAAAGTGGTTTTGGAGAAAAGCACAATCTTTCTGTTCAGTAAATGCATCCAATGTCATGTTTACAAATACAAATATCATGTTTTCTCAGGTACCTGGAGCTTTCTTCCTAGAAAACTCGAATGTGTGGAGTATTTGACTCCAGGTGGAACCAATTAGCGTTTGCCAGCAGAAACCAAAAAGTGTCCTGCTAAAATGCATTCAAAACCGTAAAGTCCATAGAGAATATCCAGAAAACACAAACACACACAGAGGCTGTAGCAAGATCTGGGATTGAGATAGCTACAAATCACCAGATAGTTTTGTTTTCATCCAGGAGTATCTGGACAAATTGTTGTGGATTTCAGGTGAAATTTAACCAAAAATCACCGTGAAAGCGGTTTTGGAGAAAAGCACAATCTTCCTGTTTGGCAAATGCATCCAATGTCATGTTTACAATTACAAATATCATGTTTTCTCAGGTTTCTGAAGCTTTCTTCCTAGAAAACTTCGAATGTGTGGAGTATTTGACTCCAGGTGGAACCAATTAGCGTTTGCCAGCAGAAAACAAAAAGGGTCCTGCTAAAATGCATTCAAAACCTTAAAGTCCATAGAGAATATCCAGAAAACACAAACACACACAGAGGCTGTAGCAAGATCTGGGATTGAGATAGCTACAAATCACCAGATAGTTTTGTTGTCATCCAGGTGTATCTGGACAAATTGTTGTGTATTTCGGGAGAAATTTAACCAAAAATCACCGTGAAAGTGGTTTTGGAGAAAAGCACAATATTCCTGTTCGGGAAATGTATCCATTGTCATGTTTACAGAAAGAAATATCATGTTTTCTCAGGTTTCTGAAGCTTTCTTCCTAGAAAACTTGAATGTGTGGAGTATTTGACTCCAGGTGGAACCAATTAGCATTTGCCAGCAGAAACCAAAAAGGGTCCTGCTAAAATGCATTCAAAACCGTAAAGTCCATAGAGAATATCCAGAAAACACAAACACACACAGAGGCTGTAGCAAGATCTGGGATTGAGATAGCTACAAATCACCAGATAGTTTTGTTTTCATCCAGGAGTATCTGGACAAATTGTTGTGGATTTCGGGTGAAATTTAACCAAAAATCACCGTGAAAGTGGTTTAGGAGAAAAGAACAATCTTTCCGTTCAGTAAGTGCATCCAATGTCATGTTGACAAATACAAATATCATGTTTTCTCAGGTTTCTGAAGCTTTCTTCCTAGTAACCTCGAATGTGTGGAGTATTTGACTCCACGTGGAACCAATTAGCGTTTGCCAGCAGAAAACAAAAAGGGTCCTGCTAAAATGCATTCAAAACCTTAAAGTCCATAGAGAATATCCAGAAAACACAAACACGCACAGAGGCTGTAGCAAGATCTGGGATTGAGATAGCTACAAATCACCAGATAGTTTTGTTTTCATCCAGGAGTATCTGGACAAATTGTTGTGGATTTCGGGTGAAATTTAACCAAAAATCACCGTGAAAGTGGTTTTGGAGAAAAGCACAATCTTCTGTTCAGTAAATGCATCCAATGTCATGTTTACAGAAAGAAATATCATGTTTTCTCAGGTTTCTGAAGCTTTCTTCCTAGAAAACTCGAATGTGTGGAGTATTTGACTCCAGGTGGAACCAATTAGCGTTTGCCAGCAGAAAACAAAAAGGGTCCTGCTAAAATGCATTCAAAACCTTAAAGTCCATAGAGAATATCCAGAAAACACAAACACACACAGAGGCTGTAGCAAGATCTGGGATTGAGATAGCTACAAATCACCAGATAGTTTTGTTTTCATCCAGGAGTATTTGGACAAATTGTTGTGAATTTCGGGT